GCTCCTAGGGGGGCGGGGGCAAAAAACAGTTTCCCTCTCCCAAATTTATTTCTGTATACGCCCTTGAGGATACGGTTGAGAATTAGGGATGTCCCTCTTTAAATGGAAAGTTATTTAACTTTGCTTTCAGTCCCTTTAAACCGAATATTTATTTTAATTTTTTGTTTATTTTTATGGAACCTAAAAAATAAATAGAAGAGAATTGGTGATTGGTGTATATATGTTACATGTATTATGAATAGAGGAAGGATAGGGGTCTCTCTTTATGGTAAAGCTGACACAATGAATATATAGGAATATTATTATTCTTCTGTTCTTTATCCATCTTGGTGTAGTTACTGCAGCCTATATGGGGGGACACAAGGGATATAACTTGGGGGGGGGGGGGGGGGTCACCTAAAAATACTCCCAACTAAGAAACTCAGTTTTTGCAGCGAGCTAACATTTTCTAATCTCTATTTCTTTGAAACATAATGGTGTAAACCTTTGATATCTCAAACTTAAGCTTTTTGGTCTAACACAATTGACAATTTGAAATATCAAAGATCCAAGACATCGGGTTTGGAGTTTGTGTCAAAAAATCATTTCCTTTTTTAGTCGATTGCAGGGGGTAATTATTATCAAAAAGAAGTAAACGAAAATCTATTAACGTTCATTTGGATTTGACTCGTCTTGGTTAAACTCTTGAATCATCCCGCCACTCTCATGCCTGATAAACCAATATGGCGGGTTTATTATTGGTTGAATTTGTATTAGCATGTAAATTCGCAAAATAGGATGCAATGTGATCCTGGTTTGGATCAGAGACATATTCATACGGGGGCTATAGGGGCTCAGCCCTACCCCCTGGATAAGTGAACATAATCAACATAATTTTAACAATTTTGATACCACATAAGTTCAAAAGTGGAATGATCCGAACCAGTACAAGGATGCCAATCTATATTTTACCGAACCAGCACGTCTAGTGAACCCATTATGTGGTTGACCCAAAGCGTTTTATGCAACAGAATTAGTCGGGCTGAACTATAGGGAGTTAACTGTATGTGAGGTATAAGTTCAACACTTTATCATGTCACTATATTTTAAATTTGTGAACCAAATACTGACACCAAAAAATGTAAAATAAGCACAATGAAAAACTAAACGTACGAAGAAAATTTTTGAAAAAATTCGGTGTTAGAGGGGAGGAAGGTCAACCACAACAATGTCTCGTCCGAGCCACGTCGAAAGCCTCGTCCTTTGAATATAATTTGTTTAATGTATCTAATCCGCCCAGATAAAACTATTTTTTAAGAATTGGCCACGTTAGGGCATAAATGAAATATCGAATTTTTGTAGATCGATTAGAAAAGTTTCAATTGAATTAAAGTTTTCAAGTTTAATGTCTTTTAACATGTTCACCCTTTTTTATGGGCATTTGCAGATATTCCTGGTGTAGAATGCCGCAATTGCAAATAATTCCAAGTTTAAAGAACTTTTTTGTGAATTATAGTGAAAACCATAGAATTTTAACGGGTGGTTCCATGGGGAAAATGATAGGCAGAGGTATGCCAAATATTTTGCTATTTATTTTATATAGCGAAGGTTAGCCATTACGGAGGCAGAAAAGATTTGAGTTTTACCTAAATAAAGGTTGACATCATTCTCATGGGTTTGAAGATTCCAACATGATTTAACCATTGAACTACTTTAGTCCATCCATATATTATGCCCTAACGTAGCCAGATGTTTTAAAAATAGTTTTATCTTTGAGAATTGGAAACATTTAAGCTTCATGATATCGATGGACGATGATTCCGAGGTGGCTCGGACGAGAAATTGTTTCGGCTGGCCTTCCTGCCCTCGGTTTAAGAATTTTTTAAAAATCAAGTAAATCGACTAGACATATACAACAGTTTAACAAGACCAAGCAATAATTATCTTTGAATTACCCGAGAGATCGCAATAAACCCAATTGAACATAATTTTTGGCGAAATTCCTTTAAATTGAAGAAACTGAATGCATCTAGTGCATGATTAGTTCTGGGTGAGAGATCTGATAAAATTTTAACTTTTCTTGCTGTAGTTCTGAAATCCTTAGAACTCCTATTGTTTAGAGATCAAAGCTTGTTGAATATATCCCAACCACTTAGCACAATCATCTTTGGTTTTGGGGTTTATAAGTATTTTCTAATTCATTTTTTCAATTTTTAGAATATTATGTAAATCATACATACATGATATCCTCACATTAAATATACATTGTAAATTATCCAATAATTATATTGGCAACTCTCTCAATACNTAGGCCTGTAATTTTATGGAATGGATCCTTGCCGGGTTCAATTACATGAATATACAGTTCTTGAGTATACATTCAAGGACTATTAGATCGTAGAAGGGGAAAAGTAGAGAAAATGAAGAAAATTAGAAAGGTGGAGGGTGGAGGGGGGGGGGGTATAGTTGCATTAGCTTAGATAGGATTAGATGATTGGAAATGGTGAGAGTATCTCTTTGTAAATTAGAGCAGTTATCATTATATTATATTCTATGTTAACTTACCCATACACACTTAAAATGTGGTCATAACATTATGGTATTAGGTATTTTTCTAAAAGCATTTTTCCAAGAGTGACTTCCCAAGTTACAACTTCCCAAGTAGCAACTTCCCAAATGTGCCATTTCCCAAATGTGGTATATCCCAAATGTCCCATTTCCCATTAGGATGGGCTAAGTGGATACAGATACAGTGGATACTATCTAGCTTCCCCCCCCTGACTCATACACTTATATTATTTACACATAACAACAAAAACAAGTTGTCCTCATTTGTTTTTTATGTTTAAAGTTGAAACCATGGATATTAGAATAGAATAAACGCAGAAAGTAGTATTTTTACAATACAGAAGAAAAATACCGGATATTCAATATGTATATTGTAATATGTGCACGGACTCGGTGGAATTCAAAGTGTATGCATTGTGTCCAAAAAACTGGATTGACTTTCAGTTGTGAAGATTCTTCTAAAATATTAAAGGAGTTGAGTTTTTGCAACAAACTCAAATTTTCTAACCCGTTTATCTTTGCAACCTGATGGGTTGAACCTTTGATATTTCAAAATTAGATTATTTGATCCAACAGAAATTTTGGTTTGAAATATCTAAGGTCTACAACATTAGGTTGCAAAGATAATAACTATTAATTACTACTTAACCGGGAGATTAAGGGAGGATAATTAAATTGACCTTTTTGGGGTTCTAAACCTCCCTCGCTACGCTCGTGAGGTTTCGAACCCCAAAAAGGTCTTGGAGGCCCTCGGCTAAGTGGTTTTCCCCTCAATTTAATTATCCTCATGAAAACTCCCGGTTAAGTAGTAATTTATCGTTTAATCTCCTGTTCAACGAAATAACCAACCGTGGGGGATAAAATTATAATGAAATCAATAAAACTATCAATTATGATTTTAATTCTTTTATTTCTTTCTAATGCATATGGAAGAATATTTAATTTCTTGATCTAAATCTTGAATTAAATCTGTATGGATAACAGAGGGAGGATAAGTAATTATCCTTCCTGTAAATAGGGAGGATAAGTAATTATCCTCCCTGGAATTAAAAAAGGAGGGAATTTAAGGTTGGTTATTTCGTTGAACAGGAGATTAAAGAATTAGAAAATCGGTGTTTGAGGCAAAGATGTAGAGTCTATGAACCTCTAATCTCCTATTTCAATCGAGTATGAGAACCTCTAATCTCTGGTTTAAATAGAGTCTATGAACCTCTAACCTCCTATTTCAATCGAGTCTATGAACCTCTTTTTTCCTATTTCAATTGAGTCTATGAACCTTTTTTCTCCTATTTCAATCGAGTCTATGAATCTCTAATCTCCTTTTTTCAATCGAGTCTATAAACCTCTATTCTCCCATTTCAATCCAGTCTAGGAACCTCTTTTCTCCCTTTTCAATCGAATCTATGAACATCTATTCTTCATTTTTTTGGGACACCCTTGAGAAGAATTCAACTTGTCTAAAGAATATGAATAAGTAAATCTCTATCAATCTTATCTATTGGAGGTATTTTCTTAGAATAGTTGGGTTATTACGTGAATTATATGAACAGACAGTGCACAATTCATATTATTGACATTTAGCATTTAGGAACTTTTATATATACTTTTATATATTATTTATAAGATATAATATATTTGCAAGTAAATATATATATAGGCCGCAAACGGACAGACAGACAAGCAAAGTATATATATATATATCTATCCGTTTGCGCCCTAGCGCCCTATATTCTTAGTAGTCTGTGAAAGTAAATTATAAGATTTAAACACATATTTTTAAATTTTGGTCATTCATAACCTTCCCTGGGGTCACGTGAGATCCCACAAAAAATATGGGCCCGATCGGTTCAGCCGTTTTGACGTTTATTCGATAAAAACAAACAAACAAACACCCAAACACCAAGACAGACAAGCTAAATTTATATATAGATTTATTCTTGCTAAAATATTACTATTTTTTTAATATTAAACAGCTGGCAAACAAAGTTTTCAAAAAGTATAAATTAATGTTGTGAATACGACATGCCACTCTTTAAATGGAGGGTCACTTGAAATTACTATAGTTCCATTAAGGTATGCCTTGTTGTTGTGAATAGCATATGCCATTCTATAAATGGAAGGGCAGAAAATAATCTTCTTATTACCAATTTCACACTTCACACTTGAATGAACAAAAATACCCTTTATTCTCTACAAATAGGTTATTTACAATTAAAATAAAATTAGAATTAAAAGGGACTGTAAGCATAATATTTAAAAAAAAAATACATTTTACATGATAAAAAGATTTTCACTTTTTCTGCATAATTAACGTTTTGATTGTAATTTAAACATCATAAATCTAAATTACGTTTTCCACATTTTATCTTTTCTTTCTAGTTCTTGATTTAAGCTGATGAGGAAAATGCTCTAAACTGAAGGAAAAAATCCGCAAAATTTTTTAAAATCCACGACACAATTAGTTCTATAGAAGCAATCAAGGAAGACGGACGTGTCAATCAAAATGTCAAATTACATTTCAAACCTCGGGCAAAGTCTGGATCAATACCAGCAAGCTCCAGCTTATTACCAGCAGGCTCAAGCTCAAGCTCCATACCAGCAATCCCCAGCTTATTACCAGCAGGCTCAAGCTCCATACCAGCAAGCCCCAGCTTATTACCAGCAGGCTCAATCTCAAGCTCCATACCAGCAATCCTCAGCTTATTACCAGAAGGCTAAAGCTCCATACCAGCAAGCCCCAGCTTACTACCAGCAGGCTCAGGCTCCATACCAGCAAGCTCCAGCTTATTACCAGCAAGCTCAGGCTCCATACCAGCAAGCCCCAGCTTATTATCAGCAGACTCAAGCTCCATACCAACAAGCCCCAGCTTATTACCAGCAAGCTCAGGCTCCATACCAGCAAGCCCCAGCTTATTACCAGCAGGCTCAAGCTCCATACCAGCAAGCTCCAGCTTATTATCAGCAAGCTCAGGCTCCTCTCCAGCAGGCACAAAATTCTTGTCAACAGTCGCAAAAAATTCAAGCTCAGTATCAACAGGCACAGGCTCAGCTAGCTAAAGCCCAGCAGGCTTTAGCTCAATTAGCTGTGCTTTAGCTCAATCGGCTAGCGCTCATTTATAAATTTGAGGAGCTTTAAACGTCAATGAAAAGTCTCTATTGAACTATATTTATCATAAAATTGTTGTGGCATTTAACTAGGAGATATTTTTACAAATAAATATTTTAATCTAATAACCTAATGTGTTTTATTAATTTGGAGGATTGTTGGTCACAAAACTGTATATAAATTAAATACGTGTATGTATTTAGATCCCTTTTTTAAATTCTTTGTTTTGCAGGGGAGTTTTTAAGTTTAACTTAACAACTTCCCTGGAACAAATCTAAAATTTTTTTCGGATTTTCTTTCAAATGGTCACTATAGAAGAAAACAAGATTTTTAGAGAAAAAATTATTCATCTAAATAAAAATGTTTATGTATCACATATTTTTTTCTTTTTAAAACAAAAAAGCCTATGTTTTATCAATTTCGGAATATTTTGAATAATTCAGAGCTAACACTGAATTGGACTTATTTAATTACAGGCTCATTTGTATTCCAATTCATAGATAGATGATTCCTTTAGATACATTTTAATGAGAAGAAAATGTCGTCTTCTTTTGCGGTAATTGTTCAGTCTTGAAACTATCCAAGAAAGTTTATTCTTGAAAACAACTCTCAAAATATGCTCATAGTCATAGCATTAAGACATCCTTACTGTTCTCGATATTTTAACTGGTTCATAACTGTGTACCATTTATTTTAATCAGATGTGATGTTGAGAAGTTATTTCATCTCTTGATTAAAAAAGTTCATTTTTAAAGAGGATGAAATCTGTTCTGTTTCACATCATTTCATTCCTGACATCAAAATATGAGTCAGACGCCTAGCCTGTACCTGAGTGTACATATATACATATATAGAATAAATTTAATGTATAAAGAGTGAACAGTTATGTGAATCTAGTTATGGAGTAAAAATCGCAACTCTCTCATATTGTGCACAAAGCAATCATCTTATAAAATATACTAAGTATTTACAATGCTAAATGTTTCAGTCTATAATCGTACTTATTCTAAAAAAGGTGACAGAATACGGTACCCCGGTGCATAGCATATTCAATCTGGGAAAATATCAGTGAACATTATAGTCATAACTATATCTATATACTTTGCTTGTCTGTCTGTCTGTTTGGGTGTTTGCTTGTTTGTATCCAATAAACGTCAAAACGGGCCCAAAACCCAGAATATTTTTTACTCTTTTAAACTTAATTGAGTCTTAGCCACAAACTCAAATTTTCTCATCCCTTTATGTTTTAACTTGATGGTGTAAACCTTTGATATTTCAAATTTAGATTTTTTGATCTGAGTTCATAGTTTGAAAAATTTAAGGTCTACGACACTTAATTGCAAAGATATGAGGATTGAGAGCTTATCGCAAAGACTCAATTCCTTTACGAGAAATTCAGACAGAAACTTTGGAAAAAGTACTGTTTCAATTTATTGAATATTTCCGTTCAAGAAGTCAATTTATTTTATATGGATTAATGTGGTTTGAATAATTAACTCTGAGTTAGCGGCTACTCTATAAATTTTATTCTCCCAGACAGAATCCTTGAATAAAAAGATGAAAGACTGAAACCCGTCCGACCGTATCTGAATAAATATAATCGCAGACGTTCTTGGATCTTTCAGACTTCCTAACCCCGACCTTGATTATCTTTACTCTTCCCTTGACCGTGAGAGAGAAAAACGTTTTAGAAGATTTATTAATTTCATGGATTCCTTTAAAATGTATTTAACTATCTCTTTAAGCTATAGTAAATTGAGTCTTTTCCACAAACTCTGATTTTCTAATCACTATACATTGCAACCTGATGGTATAAAACATTTGATATTTCAAACTTTGATTATTTGATCTAACAAAATTCATTGTTTGAGATTCTAAGGTCTACAAATTTAGGTTACAAAGATATAGGGATTAGAAAATCAGAGTTTGTAGCAAAGACTTAATTCTTTCAATACGACATTACTTGCTCATTAAAAAAAAAGTTTAAATTTGTTTGCGGAAAAATAAAAATATTTTCGGAACACGATCAGCTATTCTATCATTTCATCAAACGAATTAATACGATTTGCTTTTCTGCCCATTATCATTAATTCATTTTCAATAATTTAATGTTTTTTTTACAAGAAATTTATTCTATAAGAATTTCTTTTCCAATAAGTTTCTTTTCCAATAAGTTTCTTTTACAATAAGTTTCTTTTACAATAAGTTTCTTTTCCAATAAGTTTCTTTTCCAATAAGTTTCTTTTACAATAAGTTTCTTTTAAAGGAACTCTCTCGTAAATTCCAGTGACCCCCCCCCCCTTTGGACAGGGGTGCGTTCGATTCACCCTGTATCTGTTCAAAAATACGGAAAATATCGTCGTTTTTCCAGCTTGAAAAATGTTAAATTTTAACAATTGACTCATTTCTTTCTGTAAGCAAAATATTTAAATCACTTTTAAGAAAATACAATCGAAAATAATTGATTTTCAAACATAGAATTATGGATATCTCTTAATCAGACTAACTCTTTGAAGGGTACCCTTGTTGTGAATCGGCCCCACTAAATAAATGGAAAGGTACTTAAATCTACACTCACAGTTTCTTTAATTCTTTTAATCCTTTAAACAGTAGTTTGTAGTAACTATCCAATAAAATATCTTTATTTTACAACTTGGCAATTCAACAGTTTTTATTGCTTTTATTATAATCGAAATCTCACAGAAATTGTAATCTGAATTTTACGTGATTTAAAGTAGTCCTTAATTTAAAAACAAAAAACGGGGCGTGCACGATTAATATTAGCACCCTTTATATTTTACTTTTGGTCAAGGATGAATGAACTTTTCTTGTTTTTCATTTGAAAATTGATAATTTTCCATTGTTGATTGGTTTATACAGCAGAGACAAATACAGAAAATTTACAGACCGTAATATTTTTTAAGATAAAAAATGGCGATATTTTAACCTTATCATTTCCGAGATAAAGGTATAAAGGGTACTGTTGTGATTTTGGCGTGCAGCTTACTCTCACTTTGATTACTGTTGTGATTTTGGCGTGCAGCTTACACTCTCACTTTGATTACCGTTGTGATTTTGGCGTGCAGCTTACACTCTCACTTTGATTACTGTTGTGATTTTGGCGTGCAACCTACACTCTCACTTTAATTAACCCTTGAAAAATAGATTTGCATTAAAAAACACGATACTTTAAACCATTATTTGATAAATGTTTCTTGCAACGAACAATAATTGTTGTTATATTTTTGGAAAGCAACACATATCGGCCATGTTTTTTCTCTTCTTTGTGAAATAAACCCAGGAGTCACTTTCTAAGACAGAAAACCAAAACATCTCCATCATCGATTCAAACAAAAGAGTTTAACTTTACCGTTTTACATTTATTTCTTTCGATGGAGGTTTTCAGGTTGCATTGACAAATTTAGATTGTGTTTTTTTTTATAAATATATATATATTAGTTTTCTCCGCAAAAACTAGATTTTCTTTATTTATTTTCTACTTTATACAGTTTTTAAGGGTTTTCTTGATTGGTCCAATCAACTTTTTTTTTATTTTCTTATTCAAAGCAAAATTAACTAAAATATTTCCAAAAACTCTAATTTTCGAATATCTGTATATTTGCAGTCTGGATGATAATAGGCCCATAAAAATTGATATCAATATCATTCAAAGAAATAGGGATGGGAGAATTAGAGTTTGTGGAAAATGTTTTTTAACCCATTCTTTACATTTGACAATCAAATTTAAAGATAGCATCACCTATATTCTGATCTAAAAAGATTACCAACATATTTTTTTTAGAAACTCTGTTTATTTATGTAAGTCATTAAAGTGCACTTACCTTAAAAAAATGCAATCGTACAGATTTTTTTTATACCTGAGACGTTTAAGAAGAATGAAAGTTTAAACTGATACGGGACCCATGGGTTCAAAATCAAACCTTGGGGTAATGAAAAGATGCAAATTTAAACCAGTAATCACCTCATCTCAGTTATTTTATTTTAATTTAACGTTGAACTAACCTACTTAAGATGAATGAAAATCAGTCTATCCAGTTTGAATAGTTCATGATCCTGTATTCTACTCTTTCTCCGTCCTACTCCTACTCAACCTTTAACCTTACCTTCACGTCCTAGCGACCCATACATTTCACCACCCACCACAAAAAAAATCAGAATAAAGTTTTTTTTTATTTTCTATCATTAACTACTGAATGTTTTTTTTTCCCAAAATTTTGATTTTAAAGAATGTTAATCCCTGTGTGTGTGTGATTGTAATGAAACCAAGACAACATGTGGTTGGACAGCGACTGATCCCCCCCCCCCCCCCCCCCACATGTGGTTGGACAGCGACTAGAAACTATGAATTCTGTTAAACCAAAAAATCTAAGTTTGAAATATCAAAAGTTTACATAATCTACAGAAACTATGAATTCTGTTAGACCAAAATATCTAAGTTTGAAATATCAAAGAATTACATAATCTACAGAAACGCTTTAAATTGTTGAAAATTTTGTTTGCAAGTTTTTATCTTTAAAGATAATACTATTTAAAATCTAGAAGTCACAGATCAAATTTTTGAAAGCCGTATTGGATTGCAGATTTTCAAGGGATATGTGTAACGTCAGATGCGTTTAGTTCACACTGTACGCTAGCGTACACTCCAGTCTTACGGCAATTTAAACACCATTTTGAGTTTAGCAAAAGGAGTTCTCTGTCCTCGTTGAAGAATTTAATTTTAAAACATTTTAAAACAGAAACTGAACTGTATCAACAATTGATGTAATTTGGGGTAATAATATCCAAACCTAAATAATATCCAAACCTAAATAATATCCAAACCTAAATAAATTCAAAATTTTAAAAAATTTAATGAAGATCAAATTTTGATTGAGACAAATATTTAAAATTTCAATAATTCATAAACCTTCTCTGGGGTCCCTAGATGTCCCACAAAAAATTTGTGCTCGATCGGTTCAGCCGTTTTGACGTTTATTGGATACAAACAAACAAACAGACGGACAGACAAACAGACAAACAAACAAACACCCGGACAGACAGACAAGCCAAATTTATATATATGCAGTGTTGGATAAACTTGTATAAAGTTTCACATCTTCAGCGCAGA